CAAGCGTGAACACGCCTACGCAGGACTCATCACATACATCAACTCCTCCGCCGAGGACCTGGTCACAGAAATAGGCTTCGTGATGATCCTGCCAGTGTTCGAGGTGCAACCGAAGCTACCTGCAGCAATAGGGAAAATTATTTCTCCTGCTTTTCCTTCAACAACTTATATTCATAGCTGGAGCAAGCGCGCTGTGAACGATCGAAGACGACGTCGAGGAGGCGTGCACCGAATAATGGTCCTAATGCTGCTCAGGTGTCGCCATTTCAGCGAGCCAAGCCACCTCGTTTACGAAATCCTAGTTTTTTTGTACCCCACTTTATGACTAGCAATCACCCGCTACTCGTGTCACAAAAGCGGCTGCGATCCTCGCAATCTATGAAAGTACCATAAGAACGGGCTCTTCTGAAGAAGTAGGAAATATACTTTTACCTTGCTTATTCATTAGGTCGGTCCTACTTCCGAATCGGCGTCATCTTATGTCGGTCTAGCGTGATATGCTATGTCGTGTGACGTTGACGGGTGCGCAAGCTGCAAGAGATTTCTGGGATCGAAAGTTACGGGTGGAGGGTTGTGGTTTCTGGACAGCATGATCTCTCTTGACGACGGCGTTTTCTCGGGTCTTTCTGCTTCGGGAGAGCAGCGCCGTGTCAGAACAACTGGAATAGCTTATTTCATACGAGGCAATAAAAATGAACACTGGTGACATACCATGTGGATATTAGTCTTGAACCTGAGTACCAGTTGGTCGCGACAGCTAAGGTCATTGTTCTGCAAATAAGGAGCACGTAGCGACTGAAAAAAGTGGTCAGTTTACAATTCTTTCAGTGATGGCTCTACCGCACATAGAATGAGGCAGGACGGTGCGCATAAACTGCCGATGCTTCTCGTGCCACTTTCCGTTCCAAAAAGAATCTTGTCCTGACGCCTCGACATGCATTTGGCCAGAGGTGTGCGACGTACGCAACGTGCAACAACGGCAGCATAAAAGGGCGCCCCTGGATTTGCTTAAGAGTTCCGACGTCGCAAAATACAGAGTCTTGCGGATGCCACCGGAGCGCCTGGTTGCTATCTAGCCGGGCTCTTCCCATTTCTGACGCGGAAAGGTTGTAGTCCTCCAACGGAAATGGGCCAATAATAATTTTCGAAGACATCCGTACAACGCAGGACAATTCCTCTAGCCCCACATTCACACGTGAGAGCACCGTCGGGGTAACACACCATAGCGATTGGCACTTAGACCACTATGTATGTGGCAATGAAGCTGTCGTTTGCCAGATAACCAGAGAGGGCAGCGAAAAATCTGGCACTATTGGAAATCTACGGGCGGCTTGTGCAGTATCCAGCTTCATAACTACAAGCAACTCACCTTGCAGGGTCGGTCGGGCACAGCTTACTCATGGTTTGAGCAACGGGCCGGTCGTTGGGGGAGGTTATAATCCCCTCAAGAATAGCGTGCTTTGGAGTCTTAGGTCATAGAGTGAGCTGAGAACACGATAGAGAAAGGCCGATACACACCGTCCAAGCCGGTACTGCCATCTAATTCTGTGCACACCGACAGCTTTGGCTCCGGCCTCCATCTTGGCACAATATCCTCATATTGTTATCCCCCTTGCACTCTGGCGACGACAAAATTCACAGAAGAAGTTGAACAAATGGGTGCGTCAGCGTGGAACTTCAGAAGGATATCGCCTAGCAGACGCAATCGACATTATAAGTCAAAATATCCTTCATAGTTGGCGTAAAAACGTACCTGTGTATACAAATGAGACCATGATCATTTCCTTCCTGATCATATGCCCCGAACACGAGGGAAAATCCAACGTTTCAGTCTAAACAAAGGACTGCAATGTCTGATAAGGAACGACGAGAGATTAATCATGATGACTGTGCCCGTATGCGCTCGCTGCGCGACGGTAAGCGACGTGTGACAGTAATGGTTAGGGAGAACGAGTGGGGGCTGTAACTGTGACATGCCGATGTCACCCAACCTATTTTGGCGGAGCCTAAGCATTCAGTTCAACTTCCGACCTTGCTTCGAACTCGACTTGCCTCGATGCTTAGGACATCCAACTTCAGGCTTACACTTTTTACTTTCCTGGATCCTCTCATGTTATCTAATATATCGTAAATTTTAAATCTTGTAGGCTTCTGGATTCGACCTGGATTGCACGGAGTGATGCCCCTAGATTCAGGAAACCTACATGGCATGGTTGTGGCATGGTAATATCTAGAAAGAAACACATACCGTCTTCCATATGCATCAACGAACCTTTCCATTGTCACCATGGCCTACCATGCATTCGGTATGGATCGAGTATCGGAAAACATCAAAACCAAAAAAATAATGCAATTAACCTGGTCGGTGATTACTGGTATATTTTTTATTCTCTCTACCCTAATCACTATTCCGATCAGATTAACAGAAAGCGGGGAAGTTGTTGGTGTTTGATGGAATCACCGGCAGTTTTCTCGGGCTCAAAACTAGTCATACCTGCCTTAACCCAAGGATTCCTCTCAGATACGCATCTCGCTATTAAAGCATTTTTCTGGTTCTGGTTTCCTCGACGAACTTTTTCTCTGAAGTATAAGAGGGTCCTTCACTATTGCGGAGATTCTCAGCTGGACTCATTCCCTCCCTATACGCATTCAGTAAGCCATAGGGTATTCCCACATTCTTTCGCTAAAGCCTACACCCCTTCTGATTTGTACGCTGTTTACAAGTCCTCGGAAGGGCCTCTCTACCGCTTCCGAACCCCGAACAATGGAGAGACAACAACCCCGTATTTCGTCGGTCCCGCACTCCCGCTTGACTGCTTTTCTCCATCGGACCATACTAGCCGCTATATTTCTTTTTAGAACCACGGAGGTCTCTCACCGCCGCTTAAATTACATCCTTTCCTCCCCCATAAACCTGCGGGCGCATTTGGAATATAGCGCCCAGCAGTCCAATGTTCTTTAAATTGGACGGCGGGCTGGGCGTGGCATAACATTGATCTCGTCCTCACTGTATGTCTTACGAAAGCCTTGGTCAAAAATGCGGCAAAATATTTCCTCATCTTTCGCTCAGCTTGGGCTTCGCAGACTATTAGCGTCGCGCCAAAAAATATCTGACAGACCCTATCAGTTCCTTGTTCCATGGCAGTCCTCAATCCCAGCGTAGCCACATCCGTACTGTGTCGCCAATCATAACAAGATGTTACCGCTCCACTAATTATGTCCAGACGTCGTCCTTCAGGCCCTAGGGAAACCGACAGGCGTCCCACAAATGAACCTATCGTCTCTATCGTCCTGCATTTATCATAATTCATCTCTCGACGGGCCAAAACCTCCAACGAAACCTTCCTCTCCCACCATAACCGCATAACGCCTCGCGGATGAAATACCCACCAATGACATGCCCAGCACCTCATGCTCGAGGGATCCACATATGATTCGACGTGCGGCGATGTCAGAAATGCCATGGCCGTGGAACCCCGAGGGGAGGGGGCCTAATATATTTTCCCTAAAGCATGACCGCCTTCGCTTCATTCTTATCTACACCCGTCGCTCTCCAATTCTCGTCTGTAGCCATATGTACAAGTCTGGACCCCATTAACCGCCGGCAATAGACCATGAATGATCGTGCCTCCCCCTAACATCTTTCTCCCACAGCTCCATTATATTATTGCCTCACGCGCTTTACTCACAATAAAAGACGCCTAGGGCCCATTCATTCCCGGAACGCCAGCCGTGCCATAAACAACAAATAAGTACATTCCAATCCCCCGTCGCCAGGACAATACAATTATTGGCGCTGATCTGCGCATTCGTTACGTTCAACGTCATATTTTCCCGTTCCTGTACCTATACGTGGCTGCATGGACATGTCCAAGAAACCGAAAGCGAGACAGTTCCAGGTGGACCGTCTACGTCACGCGCGCTATATCTCCCGCCTCGGTGCTGCGCCACTCCCGAGTAACGGAATGGTGCCTCAGGGCCCAGATAAGCCAAGCCTCCCCCGCCCTTTCCTCTGCTGCGTCATCGTCATCGTTGCAGGGGGAAAGGGGGATAAAACGCTGAAACGAATGAAAAAGGCGCACAACAGCCAATCAGAAATCTGTAATGAAGGATGGGGGGCAGAGATTTGCGATGAAAAGATTGGCGCCCGTTCCCTATCAGGAAAGGATTCTCGTCTTTTGAATTTTTGGCTCGCGAATGTTCCATCGGGAAAACAATTTTCATATCCTTGCCCGAGGTCCGAGGGTCGGCGGCGTTCATTCCCATGGAAGAGAAGCGGGTATTGGGTATTGTGCGCTATGGGATACAGTTGAACATGAAAATACGACGAAACATAGGGGAAAGCCGAAGAAAAACAGTGGGACATGAATCATAAAGAAATATGAATGTTGCGAGAAAAAGTGCACCGTCAACGGTAGCCAACACGAGTGTAGCCCTTCTCCTCTCTGACATTACTGACGCCCATTCTCTCTCGCCTAGCCATCTCAGGCTCGTCGTTAAAGTCATAATCGTACACCCTCCTTCGAACTCTCTCATCCTCATACCGCGGAAAGACAGCTGCCTGCAGCCTATACCTCGGCACCTCCTCTACCTCTTCCTCTTCATCCTCTTCCTCGTCTGACGGTTGCAGAGGACGCGGCACCCTCGAATTCACATTAGAGTTCGAATTCGAAACCGAGCTCCCCGGAAAGAGCGAAGCAGCGCCCGGATTGGTATGATTTCGGTAATGTCGGCGCATATTGGAGTTGACATTGAATTCACGCCCGCAACCAGGGAACGGACAGGTGAAAGCTAACAGAGTAGATTCATGTCAGCTCAGGTTCGGAAGCTGTCAAGGTAACACCTTAACGTACGGGTAGCCCCAGTATGGGTGTTGATATGTATCCTCAGGCTACTGGGTCGGTTGAAGCGCTTGTTGCAAGTCTTGCATACGTGTTTCTTCCCTAGGCCAATACCGTCGTCTTCACCGTCACTGATCACGCTGACAGTGGCGCGGGCTGCGGCTTCGGTAGCAGCAGGCTGGTAAGGCAGTGTCGCAGAGGATGCAATATGCGTGAGGGAAGAAGAGGCCGGATCTGAACGCAGGACACCGAAAGAGTAACCCTGTGGTTGGCCTGAACGTTCAAGACGACGAGCAGGGATAAGAGTAGGTGGCGCAGTGCCTTTGACGCGCGCTTCGGGCGCAACGCGCAGCAGGTGCTCTGTAAGCAGCAATGAGTCAATGTCAAAGGGGGGTTGAGGAGGGGAGGAAGAGAGATAATACTGACCTGGAAACATTTCATGGATACTGGGGAGGGAAACGGTGGCCATGGTGGCTGTAGGTGGAAGGGGTGGTAGAGTAAACGAACGCAAATCAACCGGCAGTTTTATAGGCGTTCCTTTTCGGCAACTGTCCGATTTTCCGTGCCGCCTAATATGGAACCGCCGGAAGTAAATCAATGACAATCATCTCCATTGGACGAAGGATCCACCGAGCCTCGTTCTCTCCCTCTAATTCCCTTTCTCCGATAGAAAAGTCTTCTCGAGGACCGCGCATCGTAGTATTCCTTGACCTTCTGTTGTCATGCCTGCCAGGAATCGTTCGTCACTGCACACGATTCTCTCTGGTGAATCAGGGCATGATATTGATCTCTCGGCGCCAATACGCAGGTCTGAGTCATCCGGCCTTCGTGCGAGGATCCACCTGGGCCGCTTATTGGAGAGATGCTCAAATCACCGCAACGTTTTCTACACGAATACCACGCACTAAGTCCTCGTTACATTCTGCAGCCACGCTGCGAGGCAAATCCAGCGTGTATAAGTGGTATCAAGGAAGTCTCACTAGGGAAGGCCAACATCTCTCACGGATCCGAAGCCGTTCTTAATAAAACAAACATCAGTGAGAATGGAAGAGAAGAAGAGAGACGGCGCACTGAAAAGAACGAGGCACGATTTGAAAAGGGGATTAAAACTCCGAGATCGGCGAAGAACTTTTCATTTCCAACAACTGCATGTAGAAGCGAAAACAGCGATAGGCGCTCGTCAGGCTCCCTCGGTCATTAAACAATTGAGACGCATCGATACCTGCATCCGGCCGCATCCGAGCACTAGGCGAAATGAATAGGCGGATCATAGCGGAAGAAGAGAAAGGACCTACTAGGGAGAGCAGGGGAAGAGCCCAAAGTGAAGAGAATGGACCAACCATTAGGACGAAATATGAAAGAAGCGTGTTTAAAGAAACGTTTCATAGGGTCATGTTTGCGCCGAGGGTGATGTTCAAAGCACACGCACTCACCGTGGAATTCTCCCATGTGAACCCGTGGCCCCGATAGGTTGGATTCATTACCTCGACACACGGAGCGCCAAGAGCTGAAAACAGGCTGCGATACCATCAACTCGAGGTTTCTGGATCTGGGGAATTGATAAGTCACCGGTTTCTGGTACCCGGATCCCAGGATATCATCATCAGGCTGCCCTTGACCTGGACCTCGGAGTCCGATAAGGCGCCATAGTGGGGGGAATGATGCATTCGTGGAAGTTTGAAAGCGTTTTAACTCGGAATTCTTACCTAGCTGGGACTCCTTGGCTGTCTTGTCAACTATACTCGGTGCATTAGAGCCCAGCTCTCCGATGAAGGTAAGAAGAAATGTCCTCTTGACATTTCATATGTGAGGAGAAATCAGCCCATGTTTATATTTATATTATCATCGCTCTTAGACACAGTTCATACCTGATTCTCTTGGTACCGCTCTTGCCTTCTATGACGACTCGAGAGGCCGTTGTGATAGTATCTCCAAACGTTCACTTCGTGATGAGGTTAATGCTGGGCGATGCACATATTAAACAGTACATACCTCATTAGAAGCAAAACGATCACCAAGACTTGCGAAGCGCACGTTATTGCCTTCTTAAAAGCCACCACGGGCGCTGATTCGTTTCAAACCAATACATACAAGCGATTTTCTGCCGCGTCCTCGGGTCAGAGAGAACAGAATTCAGTAAAGTAAGCATATTAATCATGATCGAATCAGAGTTAAAAACAAACAATTGAGACGTAGCAATTATTTAGAAGCTACATGCGCCAAGACGGAGACTCAGATAAGCGCCTTTAGATGACGACTCAGCTTGGGAAGCGGGAAACAGAGAGAATGGAAGACGTGTGAACGTAGTCCTGGAATACAATCGTGGATCCAAAATTGGATCAGACACGTTATTAGAGAAGTATCCAGTCCTTTCCTGGGGAGAGCGCTAACCTAGCCATATAAATAGTCAGCTGTCACTGCCTTGGGATGAGGATGGACAGTCTCACCTCACTCCGGTGACAACGGTATCAGCTGTGCGAGCAATCCGCCTGTCCGGGTCATAGCTGCTCGTCACCTACAGGGGACAGAACTCAGACTTCCGGGCCATGAAAACAGTAAAATAAAGAACCTGGGCCTGGGCCTTTAAGACACACAAAGTAAGCACTATACTCCGGATCTTCCTCGCAATATTTAGGAGGCGACCTTGATATCTGCGTAAACAGGTGAAGAGATGCGCCACGAACGATTCGGCCAATTGTAGACGATTGTTCACCTCTCTATCTTCTACCGTGAACACATTCATATAAAGAACCAGCCTGCTGCAGGTCTGAGGTCTGATGACGTGAAGGTCGAGGACCCTATGAGGTATCGAAAAGAGAATAAACAATGCCTGCGAATACCTCCGATGCGCTTTTGTCATTACGTTGCTATTGATTTCTACCAGATGCAGAATCTACAACGTGGGTTATTATCGTAAGATTGCAACCATTCGGAGCGACGTACCCAAACTAAGGAGATCGATGCTGGGAAAGCTGTGTTCATTCCACTCCAATTTTAGAAGCGCGTTAACCCAGTCACCGGGAGAAAGTGATAAAATCTTCGAGAGGACCAGAAGAAAAATAGCAAAGAGCGGACGGTAAAATCGACATGGTCCAAGCACATCTGAGTGGTGGTTGAGAGAAGAGAAGACTCGGCAAAATCCGGTCCGCATTCCTCTTCTGAGGATTTTCTAAAAACGTTGTGAAATGTCCTTGCAGACAATCTGAGCGCATTCCATAATTGTTTGATTTCACGGACTATTCCCCTGGATTAACGGATGCTGAATGAACCAAAAATTCCCTCACAGTATTTTTGGGGCTTTTCGGCATCTTCAAAATTGTCCAAGCGCAAGGTTCAATCCGCAAGTAAAGGAAGAGCGAAGGCAAAGCGACCAGCTCGAACTTCACATAAGCAAGAGCAAAAAAAAATATGGTCCGTCTTTCCCTAGGTTCGGCATTCTGAGTCTCGAAGCCGTCCTAATATACGTGTATTTTCATCAAATATTCGTAGCTGGGAACGATGCCGTGGCCTACACTGGACTGTCATCTGCGGGGTTTTCAACTGCGGACGTCCTACCTTAACACAAGCAGATTCAAGCAAATCCAGTTGTATCCTTTATCCTCGTGCTGATACTAGTGCTGAACATTGAACGCACAAATGATCCGGTGTGTGTCTTCTCTACCGTGCATCATGTCATACAGCTCAATTGACTCCCTGACGCACGTACTGCGCCTACTAGCAATCGCCGATGAGAGCAGCATTCTTAGTTCGATTCTATTCTCCGCAGGCATCTCAAATGTTGCCTTTCATAATGCTCCCGGCCGCTTTGAATTCTTTCCTTATGCTGGCTTGTAGTCTCTTGCTTGGTTTTGTCCGAACACCACGGCGGATTTCTACAAATCCTGCTCCTGACCCTGCTTCTAAGAACTAAAAGCGAGGCCGACATCACCTCAAAATTGTCTGCTGCGTAACAAGAGGAACTTTGGCACAGCAATCAGTACCTTGCCCGGCCCGCAGTGAACTGCGTTCAATTGCTGCTACCATCGGCCACATGTTTATACCGTGCAAGTAATGCCCAGGGATTGCCCATCAATAAGTGCATATCAGTCCTTTCACGTGTACAACTTTGACTAGAACGTGTAAGATCTGTCAGCAGTCTATTATACAACCCAACTTCACTTTGTCCTCGCCATCACAGCGTCCACATGATTCTTCACACCCTCCTCCCAATCATCCCAACAGACACTCAAAACGGCCGAATCCCGGCCGTACGGGAATTCCTCCGCCTTGGGGTCTCCCTTCCTCACTCTCACCCCTCCAGAGGCACGGACCTTTGCTTCAGGCCAGACACGCGCCCACCTCATCACGCCCTCCATCTTGAACCCCATCCTATTCGCCGCTCCAAGACTAGGCTCGTTCGCTGCGCTCGCACACCACACAACGCGCCGCAGGCCTAACCCTCCCTCCCCAGGCAGATTGAGGGCGTAATTCATCAGGATACCGACGGCGTTCGACGTGACATGGGTCCGCTGGAACGCTGGCAGGATCATCACGAAGCCTATTTCTGTGACCAGGTCCTCGGCGGAGGAGTTGATGTATGTGATGAGTCCTGCGTAGGCGTGTTCACGCTTGGATTTGTCGTAGACGGCGAACCCTGTCTCCCCTGGCCCATGTTCGATTCGTTTCTCCCAGAAGGACGTGATGAGATCCTGTGCGTCGGTGAATGGGCCGATAGGGAGGAAGTCGTAGAAGGAAGCTGGAGGAGCAGCGTCGACGTGTAACTTTGCGTGTACGGAGATCTGGAGATGATGTGACTGGATCAGTGACAGATCACCCCTGATTTTTTTAACTCACATCAAAAGGCACCAGTTTCACGCGTTCGTTTTCTAGGACTGGGGGGAGTGGGAAGCAAAAATTGTTGACAGACATCTCTCTCGTTAGAAAGTTCTGGGGCTGCGGACGGTGCACCTTCATAGATTAACAATCGCCTGAGTCGATTAGCGGAATGGCCGGGCGGTACGGATATCCGGATTCCCGGGTGGATAAAGAGCACCCGTAAGTAAACGAGGATGCCTGGATTTGGGATCGGCGTTGGATTTACACGGCTACATATGCATGTGGTTGTAGATTCGGGCCCCGAACGTCAGCATGGCGAGGTTGGATTTATCAGCAGCTTTTATTTATGAAGGCATATTATATAAACGGGCCAGTGAAGAATTCTATTAAAAAGTATATAATCGCTGTTGAATCTTGGTGAGGTATGGCTTAGACATTACCTGACATTCACACATCCTAGTCTCCAGATTGACTGAGTAATGGGGACATTGAAAGATAAAGGATTGGTGTGCCATCGAAATTATGTACTAGGGGAAGAAATGGCGGACGTTGCCATGGCAGTTTCAGCATTGGCGGTGAATACCTTTTTTGTCTGTCCCATTTGCCAATAGCGGTTGCTAGGCTTTCCACCATGGTCGTTCGCCACATCTAAGAAGTCAGCGCGAGTTCTGCTATGCAACACGAGAATGATATTTTTCATTACATATCGTTCGTTTTCTCCATCCCGACTCGTCTTTCTTACCCCCCACTACGAACAGAAAGCTTGTGTCGCCAGCAAAAGACGGGCGCCGGTAATAAGCCGCTGGAATGCGTGTCTGATTTCAGGACATCTCAGTGTCGCTTTGCTGTTTCAGGCCTTTCCCCACGTTCATAGCTTCATAGACCAATTCTTTCGGGTGGGCGTTCAACCTGGATGAGTATGTTCTCATTTAGGCCCATAGCGGTTTCGATTGGGAGGACGGTTTGTCTAGTCGTCTCCGGAAGACTGTTGTTCACAGCCTGATTGTAGATTGGACAAAGTACTTATCATGGGTCGACTGTTACTCCAACACGGGTTTCCAGGTATACTTTATCCCTTCCTGCTACGGTATTTTTACGAACGTTTCTCTACGCGATGGAAGGTACCCACCGATTACAGTGACAAAACTGTTCTCGCGTCTATCGAGCGTCTTTTTTGCCCAGCAGAAATGTGACGCTGAATATGAGGGAACTGTACTGATAATTTTGGGAGGCTGCTCCATACAGTTATTTCTGATGGTCTGTTGCTCGCGTCTGTTATTTCGGAGGCAATACACATGTTATTAGCTTCGATCATTGCGGTATGTTGAAGGGCTAGCTCGGAACGCGAGTGTGGTAGGGGTAGGATTTGAACAAAGGTATAGGGAAGAACACTTAAAGTATGGATTGAAACTACAATCAAGAGCGAGTAGCTAATTCGGGAAAGAACTACAGTCAGTTTGCGGGATGTATAATAGTACTGTTAGCTGTAGTATCCCTGTCTTCCAACGATCTCTGCTGTTTCTATACGCGTCGGGCAGGTGAGATTTTGACCGAAGCTACAGTCCGGAGAGGTACTCACTTGTCCAGTGCCATTCATAGGAGCCTGAACAGAAAATAAATACTAAAACAGAACGGTAGGGATCGAAAATTCTTACCGGAGGGGGAGGGGGAGGAGGCCCTTGACTCTGTACCTGGGGAGCCTGACCGCGGCTCTGTTTCGCAAACGAAGGGTTAATCAGACGAATGTGGATAGCGGTGAAGCATACGTTTCCGCCACTGAGCATTTCAGGGGAGAAGAATTCGGTGCCTGCAATCGGTTTCTATATACGCAGTTAGTGTCAATGCTTCGTTACTCTTTCTAAGTAGAATTGAACCGTACCTGGTCGGAGGGGAATGGGAATCCATAGCTATAAGACATTGCAGAAGAAGGGAAGAACGGTCGAGTATGAGCTGTGCAGATAATGGTGGGGACTGATGGAGGTCAGTTCTGGGAATTTCGAGCGGCTTATATAGTAACCTGAGTGGATGTACCCATAGCAGGGACAATGAGTCTTGTCTTAGAGTGTCAGATGTGGAAGAATAAGGCGATCATGCTTAGGTCGTGCCACGATTTTGACAATGGCAGAAAGGGTCAGCGGTTGCTTGCTTTGAATCGAAAAGACAATGAATAATATTCCACGCAGACAAAAGGATAAGCCATAAAGTGGGAGGGAAGTGAGGGGACCATTCATCGCCAGTTTCGACTCGAAAACGTGGATTTGTGCCAGCGGTGGCATCACAGTATTGTTTGGTAACAGAACAAATAATATCGTTTGGGCCGTCGACAAGATACCAGAGTTCCGAAATTGTTCTGCGAATGGCAGAAACGTTTGCGGCAGTCGCTTCAATGCCGCTTCTGGCCAATTGGCAAAAAGCGGGACCGAAGCGGGGCAGCCGATCAAGTGGAAACGACATCACAGTCATAACTCTTCTCTCTTCTCGACCACCATGTCAGGCGGCGCCTTGTTTCCGTGTCGTACGACGTAGAAACGCGTCCACGGTCCTGATCTGCGCACCGCGTGTGATGGCTCTTCTCCTGCTGCAAGTTTTGGTCCCTGCCCTACAACGTGGATTTTTCGTCGCATTCGGCTCGTGTAGAAAGCGTGAGGGAAATGGCCAGAGTATTATCCAAGTAGCATGGTGTGTTTAACTGTTGACTGATAAAGTCCTCATCCTCATGAGCCCGGTTTGATGGCTAGATGATACCCTCAGGAGATACAAAGCGCGCATTGTCTACCCTTCGATTCCGACGGGGTACGAGAGGAATCGGCCTAAAGAGACGCTGATGAAGCCGTCTTATCTGCGCAGTCGAGGTGGATTCGATGCCGAAATGGACGATACAATATCTGTCTGACAAGGAGATGTTCTTATTTTCAGGACAAGCTGCTGCAAGGATACCCCAGGTGAGGGGGGCCACGATAAGATCCCGGAGCTCCCAGGTTTCTGAGTAAAAGGGTGGCCCTGGTAATCCACATCTCTGTATTATTCAGAGGGAACGTTCGCGGTTTCAGAGGCCAAGTATAGGCGTCCCTCGGTTTGGAGAGAACCGGCATCATAGAAGCTTTATCCTATGCCATGTATCAGGTAAATAACATGAAGTCGATTCCTGACTACATAATGAGCGTCGGGCGGGAAAAAAGATAGACTGTATTCTACGAACCTGGGTTCCAACGCGACGCTATGGAGACATGGCAAGGAAAAGGATAAATGAAAGAGTAGTAGAAACTCAGCCTTTTTAAAGGATGGATGAAGGAGCGGGTTAGGTGAATCTGAGCAAAAGGATGATCAAGCAAGGAAGTACGAGAAGAGACACGCTGTATGCTTTGATACGTACTAAGGTCGTTGTCTCCTTCGGGACCATACACACTCTAAGGGCTTTTATCAGCAACGTAGGACCGTCAGTGAAAATGAGCCATTTACCGCTCGACAATTCGGAACGGAACTTGAGGCACGCTAGATGAGTGTCCCGCGTACAATGATAAGATAAAAAGCCACTACTGGCGCACAGAACGTCTAGCGAGACTTATTAGCCTTGGGATCTCTGAATCAGACTCTGGTGGTGTTTCGGAAGGTCCCCTTGCACGATTCCGAGTCTTTGTAGATGACTATGCGCTGGTCAGAAGAAGAGTGTGGGGACAAGCACAAGGCAGTTCACGGAACCCGGTACGGTCTGAACTCCTCGTCGGAGCTTGTCTGTTGCCAAATGTCTGGTTCTGGAGCCTCAAACATCGATATATCAGCACTAGCATGTACTCAAGAAGATATCTAATGATGTCCCATACCCTGACGATTGCTTTTTCAGCAGACTCGTGCATAATATCCTCAGAAGCCGGGGAGCTGGAGGCTGCGACTAAGCATTGTTCTAAATTCGACACCCTTCAGCTGAGGTCCGCAATCTCGCAATCGACCCTCCCGTTCTCACTCTGCAGCTTGCCGAACTCCTGTCTTTTCTTCGCCGCTGGTCATCTAAACCTGTCGCGTTCCACTCGGAGCTCTCGGAGAGGCGTTCGTTCTCTTTGATGAGGCTTTCGACGGTGCGGGGCATGATGGATGAAAGGAAATGAAAAGCACAACTTGAAAATAATTTGGAGATCGCCAAGTTCCCAGCCGGTATGACAGTGCCAATTTGTTCGTCCGGTGATTTGATTTAGCAGATACCCCTGCTCAAGGGCAGGAGCTATTGTTAGTCAATCTCACATATTTGGGCTCATACGTTCACGGAATTCTGTGCTAGTGAACAATAGCAGGGCGAGCTGTGCAAACATGACACTCTGGAATTATCATCGACATAAGAAAGTATAGTAACCCACGCCCACTGGCTTTCAGTTGATCGCCATCGGAAGTAAAGTTAAGTGCTTGAGGGATGCAAATCACACTCCAGTCTAGTAGCGCTTTACATTTACAAAGTTCGAGACCAAACTTCATCAGAGCCTCCTCCTCTTCGTTTCGGGATCGATCATGGGTGATTCCTCAGAACCGCATTTAAATTGTGGGCCCGGGCTAGGGCGATGCTATAGACACCGACGAGAATATGAGTCGGGGCCTGCATGCAGATAGAGTGAGATCTATGCAAAGCAAGAATAGGAACCGCATACGCACCCTGCCTCTTCCACGTGAGGGCTGACGAGATTGATATTAGAAAAGGATGGGAGAAAACGCAATGGTGAAAAACGCACTGTCGTAAAGGCCCAACCCCGGGGCGGCGTATGTGGCAATGGCTGGGCGGGATCTCATCAACTGGAGTACAAGATACAAATAATGTGAAATACATACGGTTCCCCTTCCATGTGATGCCTAGTGGGAAGTCCATGTTTATGAACATGAACGAGAAGAGAAGCTGCTCACTGGGGAGATAGGATTGTGGCCTGAGGGCTGCTAAGAAAAATGAGTATGTTGCTTGTAACATAACTAGAGAAACACACGTTGACTGGCGAAGAAATGCTGGCTGCTGGATTGACTTGAGCGGACTCCTGTACATAATCCACCGCTGGAGGTGTGACAGGCTGGCCTTTATATGAGTCGCGTCAGACCAAAAGATTAAGGACGTGAACGAACGGTTGTCCTCTCTGGTACGGTAGAACGAGTGATACTTGCTTCGGCAGGGGGGCTTGACATTGATGAAAGCAAGCCTTCTGGAAAGTATAAGATATCACGATAATCAATACAAGTGTTTCGAGGCTGGGCTGGGACCAGGTAATGTTGGTAAGTCAGAATTGGCATATTTCCTGAACAACATAGCTTCACCCGCTGGTATCAGGTCTTTTTCTTTAATCGTGATTGTATTGGTGGACACCTGTTGCTCTGGAGATTGCCAGATATGGGCTTTGGCTTGGGCATCTTGAGTTTGGGAGGTGACGGCGGATGTCCCAATGACTTCTGATTGCTACAGGACAACTGCAGTGAGGTAGGGATATTCGGTGGAGGTAGGGATATTCGGTGAAGGTAAGTGATGCGTACCGCAATCACAGGATCTTCCAGGCGCTCCTCTAAACCCATGACCGTTTACCTGAGGTCTGCATTCTCGCAATCGACCTTCTCCTTCTCACGCAATAACTTGCTCAGCTCCTGTCTCATCTTCCCTGCTTGCTGCCTGAACGTGTCGCGCTGGCCTTTGAGCTCAGAGATAACCTCGGAAAGGCATTCATTCTCCTTTGAAAGGCTGTCGGTGGTGCGGTGCATGATGGTGCGGAAATGAGAAGTGAATGTTTCAGGCGGGAGTTTGCGTGCAGATTTCTGTTTTTTTTTTTAGCTGGGGGACCTGACCAGACTGAATATTTTTATCTTTGTAAAGACTAAGGAATATACATACAGACAGGATCCCTGATGATGATTTCATCTAGAAAACGCTCGCTGTAGCCAACTGATGCTCTTCCATCCTCACCCGGGTAAAGGATGTCCCATCGCGTACAGTTGCTATGGGAGTTGTGTATCCGGTAAGAGTCTGGCTGAGAAACTGGGCATTGTCCCAGCACATCCTGCATATCCGGGGGAAGCCTCGAAGTTCCCAAGGGCCAACGGTACCCAATCCCTCGGAGGCACTCCCGACTTTCTTTGCTGGAACTCTGGCGAGCCCGGATATTTCCTGAATATCACGGAAGGCACTGTTTACATAGTTTCACTGTTGCACATTGGTTTCATGCTTCACTGTTGTTATGTCACAGGTCACGGGATGTGACCTTACGCGTTGCTCAAACTTGCTTTGTCGAATTCAGATTGTCGAGAGGTTCAGTCGACACCTCCATCGGACTTTTCGGATGTCTCTTGACAGGTACTATTAATTCAGTCTTTTGCAGCTTGAGAGATGACACAGCAATATTAACAAACATGAAGCTCGTACTTACAACTTCAAATACCTCTCGGAGTCATGACGACCTCGCAGCACCTTGACCGGCTGAAGGTATCCCTCAGACCTTTCATCAGAAGCCTTATCCGAATAGACCGCATAGGACCATGAGGGGCGACAAGCAACGATGGCCCTGTAATCATCACAGGGACCTTGACGGCGGCGTTGGGTCTCTTTCGAATATAGACCGCCTTGTGACGTTCCATTAAACGAACCTGATTCAGCGCTCTCGTCGCATGGGAACAGAGGTCCCGAAGTAACACGAATATAGTCCACAAAATGGCTTACTTTGACATTCAACATGAAACAGAATCATAACTCAACTTGGAGGAGGGTGGCCCCGCTTCCCATATCGTATATGTCAGGGCTTCGACGATCAAATGACGAGCACGGCCTGGCTGATTTAATTGGCCATTATGTTAATTGATCTTCTCTTGGAAGCTGTAACGCCTACTGATAGTCTCTTATTTTAATGTCATCAACGGTTCACGAGACAGGATCGCACAATGTTATGCGACCGAGATGTCCTTCTCTCTTACAGCCACTATACGAATTTTCTGGGACTATTTCTATATGCCTTGGAAACAGAGAGTTCGAACTGGCACTTCATCGGTATCAATTTATTGTTTTAACCCAACTGGCCGTGCTCCTGTTGATGAATATAAATGCTTGCAGATATTTTCTTGCTAGATATAGGCCATATATTCTGGGTAGCAATAGCGACAGACCTCTATTTCCTAGAAACGTGCATCAACGTCGCAGCTACTCCGCGAGGATTCAAAGCGGGGTCGTCTTGACCATACAACTTTCAACGCCAAGTATATATCTCGGTGAGCATTTCACGAGGAACTCGACAACATGGGGAGATAATAATATTCTTGGAATTGGCGTTGTTCTCTATGGCTTGGTCGTGATCTTTGGTTAGGTAGTCAAGATGGGATGTAGTCACGTCGATAAAAGAGTCGAGCTCTAATATAGGGCGGGGCGGTTTAGCGATAGGAGCTTCAAGACTCTTTCTCTCAAAGTTCATTTGTAGAGCACTGGTTGGTAGACGCTCGATGATTCGCGCATCGGGACGAGCATAGGAATAATCAGGCTGAATGGCAGCTATCCTGGAGTCAAATCCGATTTTTCAGTTTGTATATAAGCCATGGAACTGTAAGTTATATTTAGATGAATAGATGATGAAAACGAGAGCAAATTTACCCATGGAGTGGGTGTATTAGAAACAAGCTGGGATCTTATGTTTCTTGATGGAGAAGTATATCCAGCGGAAAAACATGAGTTCCGTTGGATAGACAACCCACTGCCAAGGTGACGACAGAATAATAAACATATTGAGGACTAACGACAATGAATGCAACAGTGGGTGTTGCTCAACAATGACACAGATCTCCGACCCTACCTCATTCCACTCCAGCGGCATAGTCAACATGATGAGCCACTCATCTCCATGGAGTCCTCAAAGCTCAAACAGACCGACATTGCACTCACGTTCGAGTTCCAGTGACCTAGGAAGCCATAGCTCATACTTTGGCTCCATCCGCGGAACGTCCGCGCTCATGTCTCCCACCACTGCGAAGTCACAGAGAATGTCAGTGAATTTAGAGGACGTCATCACACCTTCACTGGTTCCCTTTCGGACCATGGAACGGCATATCACATCGATGCGACTTCAATCTTGTCAGCATCGCATGACACTGGTAGCAATGATGGAAGTGTGGGCCTCCCCAGGCAAAATACAAACAAGAATCTGCACATGAACCCATCAGCATACAGCCAGTATCTCAACCAAATTCATCATATGCTGGACAAATAATCCCAGGTGATCAGAAGAAGATGGGGTGGTGAGCCCAAGGTGCTATCCACATATATCAACAGCAGTCCTTACTTCCTTCCCACCTCATAACCTTATGGAGCACAAGTTTCTATTATACTTTTGAGACTCTAGTGACACTGGGGGAAAAAGCCATGAAGTCGATTTACTATTGGTACAAGAAGGTTTCATTGCTATGCTTGAAAACCTTTTCAAGCATCCAGCACAGAGACTCGAGAGACAGAAGGAATCGGGAAGTGCCTCTTGTGTGCATTGGTCTTTTTAGGGTATGTTCCTGGATTTGCATACGAAATATCAGCCAGATCTTCGCCAAAAATATGACATGGTGGAGGATCCCCTATTTTTCGTGGATTTTTGGTTTAAAAAGGCGGAAACTTCCCTCGAGTCGCCTCCAGCAGTAACCACCACCACCGTTCTGAAGATGGACAACTACCTGTGTGATGACTTCCAGTCTCTGCAGACGGACTCGGAGGACATCCCATCTTCGAGGCCTGGGGATTCAGATGAGATAGAGAGTCCAACCCAACCGTCAGTTCCTTCGTTTTCTCAGAACCATCCAAACGACCACCCGTCGGACTTCGATTCCATGCAGAGTGCACCTTCTTCCACGCAGACGCTTTCGGGAGACCAATTCTCCGACTCGCCTATCATTTATGGTCCCACTGCACCATTTCTCTCGGACCTTCCCTTGGATTCTCCCGCGAGAGCATCCACCTCACTGGAGCCGGACTCCGGTCGGCAACTCTCAGTAACGCCTATTTTCGTCGATGTATCAGATCGCACACGTCCTTCATCCTGTCCGGAGCATCTTCCTGACCCATCGCTTTCTACTGAGGCGAAAGAACAGCCCGCTCGTCAGGACCTCTCGCCATCCAGGAACAAGCGTAAATGGCTACAGTCTGACTTGCAGGCGTCCTCAGCTTCTAACTCGTACACGATGTCTTTGGGCGATTCACCACGGTCGGGATACGAATTCTCCTATCACGAAGACGACGAATTGGATTCTGATACGATCTACCGCCCTAGTCCAGGACCCTCGACCCCCAAAAAGAGAACTCGGTCGACCCGGGAGATGAAGAACTTTGGCGAGAAGGACGGCGGAGGCGACGAGCTGCAGTTCGTTGCGGATGGCAGTAAGAAAAGTCGCAGAAGGGAAGCTCCTGTTCCTCCTGAGTTCCGTCAAGACGATCAGGCTGAAGCAGAATCTCACACGGTGCTTCCTTCGGTTCCGTTCGGCGTGGAGATGGCAGGCGATCCCAACAATGACGAGAGGACGTACCCTTGCACATACGAAGGATGCGGTAAGTCCTTCTATTACAAAGGCAGTGTGAAGGAACATATCAAGAGTGTGCATTTGGGCAAGAGGCGTCGTGCGCTCGACCTTTTCTCTCTTCGGCTCCAGTGCTCACAGTTCCCTAGGTTATACATGTCCATACGAAGGCTGCAACAAGTCATTCAGCAGGAAAGAGTATCTGGAAAAGCATATTGATAACTTCCATTGAGCCAATGGTCTCTCGTGTTGCACATTTTTCCTCATCCACAAAGCTAAGAAGTCAACATTCTCTTCGTCTCATCGCTGTCTGTTACAATCCATTGACTATCTGTCCCTTACATATATATACCCATTCGCCACTTTAGACACCGTACTGCTAGGTGTTGAATTCTCTGCACTTAAGCAGGAAGTTATACAAGTAACAATTTCTCTGTACTCTGTTTGTTATGCATACCACAAATATTCATGAGTCACATTGACTTAGAAACTGTTGCGGCCATGCGAAGTTCTCTCCAATTCGGAGTCTCTGAAATGAGAAATGATTTATTTCCGGGAAGTCTCACCTGCACGCATGGATCCAGTTGGCTGTGGTGTCATCAGTGACACTTCCCACCCGCGTGCCCGATGCGCATCAGCTGTGCACTTGCCATACACTTTTCAGATCTTAAAGATCTTGTCAAAATCAAGAAAAAATTTCCCTGGTTTAGAATCAGCAGTGGGGGGGGAGGGGCTGCTCAGGGTCATTTTTGTGGCTTTCCCTGTCGCTGCCCTGTTGGCTCATTTCTGGCCTAGCATTCTTCAATCTGTTTGTGGAAATTGCCTGAGTTTCTCGTGCTAGATATTGAAAGTTCTTCACTCACTGGTCCAACAGTACAAGAAGCTTCACTAGGGCCCACTGGCTAATCATCATTCCCATGTCCCATTGACAGGACATTTACCTACCATTGTACTGTGCATTGATGGCTATTGGAGACATTGCATGGCAGAGAGGCTGCACCATTGATGTTCTTGAGGAACCATTGTGGCATTGGCAAGGCCCAGACACTTTGGTCATAGTCATTCCTGCCACCTACCCTGAGCCTTCTGTTATATATTGAGATCTGTTACTAACTGAGTCATGCTGGACAGCACTGTATCCTGTCAATAAACAATACTCTGATCTGTACATTAAGTGTTTGCACAATGAAATGCTGAGAAGTAGCACTAAAATGGATCAACAATGTGTGAGATGCACACCACCAAATCACCAACACCAAGTCACAATGTGGTTTGAGGGAGGAATGGTGACACCTGGATTCTCAGTATATAGATAATGTAATGTTGATAGAGTGCAATAGAATGTAATTCAAGGATATATATTGCAGTTTACTGGGACAAAATTGTCTGTGTCACTGAACACAACAAAATCTATCTCAAATGGTCTGCCTGATGCAGTTTCTGGACTGATATGATGCACCTGGTTGTGACTTATACACAAACACTGGCTGTTCTGAACTGTCTCAGGTCTGTTCTGACTGTCTGACACAAACTTTTGGTTCCTTTCTGGGGTTCTTGCACAAGACAAAGTGACCTGGTCACCACAATACTATTCAAGTTGAGTCTATGACTTGAAGCTCTTAACACAACCCTTACTGTTCACTTGGTAGCATTTCAGGGGAGGTCAGAAATCTGTCTTCCCTCTATACATGACCTGGTATCTATACTTCCTAGCTACCCATGGCTGACTAATATAAATGACCACTGACTAACATACTTGCTGATGCAGCCTAGGAGGCTAAACTCATTCCCTGACAGATATGAGCTCATGCACAGCTACTGGGTTGGTCAATTGGGCTGGAGCCTGGTCCTTGCCATCATGCCAATCATGTGGGTCCTCTTTCCAGCCCTGGAAACCTTGCATATCACACAGGGAGGCCTATGAATGCCCTGGTTTCTGCTAGACCTAGAGATGCCACACTCAAGGGGACTACATGCTTTCCAGGTAATCAATTGCTTAGTTCATCTTACTAGGGTGGATACAGAGTAGCTAACTGGGTAAAAGCAATAAATATAGCCTCTTTTCTATCTGGTATGGTTGCCTGGCACATCAATGATGATCTTCTTTCTACAGATAGACAGTTGTGTTGACATTCTCAAAGTCCAAAATTGAATGGCAGAGACGAGAAGGGATCTCTTCAGGAAACATTACCTTATATGTATTTATTGGTCCTGTTATCTCACATGGTTGATTATAGATCACTTCACTGTCGCACAATCGACCTCTTTGTGGATATCAAATGGATGAACATATAGGATGACGTAACTGCCGCCCCATTACGATACGCGAGGCCGCCCATTCGTACGACTGCATACAATGCTTAAATACAACTTGCAAGCTAAAAGGACTAAGTACAATAGATAAACGGAAGCCCTAGAAAAAAGACTGATAGCTAAAGATGACAAGGAAGTTCAAAGTTAGGATAGTAAATGGGCGTCCGAGAACAGAAGAAATGAAGGGACCGAAGCCGGCGGCAAATTCAAACTTGGATTTATCAATACTCCTCGAGTTAGACTCTTTGAGCAGGGTGGTCTCGAGTACGGCGAATAGTATTCTTTCCGGACACTACGAACATGCTCTCCATAGTCAACCGTTTCCTCGATGATCACCTCAAGCTAGGAAGGCCGATCAGCACATTTCTCATAGACGTGACCTCAATACACACACCTGTCGTATATTTTCCTTGGGATAGTACATGAACTACAAAAATCAGCTCCAGATGTATGATTCTACGTCGAACTCTTCCTACCTCTCCACCTAGGGATCTTAGCTGATGCGATAACTGAATGAGAAGATCACGACATGTTTCGTCGATCTCACGGTATTCCCACATTCCCCAGCGCAAGTCATGGATGGGAAGGAAGAAGTTCGTATATACTGATAAAATCGACCAAGTGAGTGAGTGCGGCAGAAACAGGTCGGGACCTTACTTTTCTCGATGAAGAAGTATATCCCGAAGAATAACATCGGTTCCGTTGGATAGACAACCCACTGCCAAGGTGAGGACAGAATAATAAACATATTGAGGCCTCACGACAATGAATGCAATGGTGGGTATTACACTACAAGGAGAGTACATGACTGATTCGTAGAAAGCGATAAAGCACCGTACCTTATAAACAAGCCTAGTAAGTGTGTGTTTTGCCACAGAGGTAATGAACCTGAAGACATAGTATCCATGTAACCAGAAAGTGGCGCACGAACCCGAATGGCAATTCGATCTCTCGTTGCAACGAGAACAAACAGAAGAATAACCAAACCGCAGTAAGGATGTCAAATACCGTGGATAGGGAGAGGCTGGCCATGAAGATCCACTATGATTCATGTTAGGTCTCAGCATTGGGGTCACATGGCGAGGGTGATACAAACATACACTCGGGTAATTCTGATGTAAAGCAGAAAATTTCTGAAGCCGGAACCTGTCGCAAAGACTCAGTCCCAGGAACATAAATGGGAAACCACAAGCACCAACATCTCAAAGATAGACACTGCATATTCGATTAAGGATATCAAACCCCGTCAGGAACAGATATGCACCAGATGAAGCAACTGAACGTAATGAATGGTTACCGTCGTAGAAATCTGTGCCGCTCACCTAACTGCATGAAGGACAGACCCAGCTAAGAGAAAACGTTTAGACACATACACTACTACAGAATGAAACACGCACGATAGGAGCGATTATAACCCAACTTCGGTTGCTAACTGCGGTATTGATTGATAAAAGGCCGAGGAATTTGCGAGATGGACAAACGTTTATATATCTCCTCTACGGAAAGGCTTTGAGATTGACTGAGTTTCCTGTTGACCCGGTGCTGAGTGAGGCTGGAACATGACTCACCATTGCATGATAAAGGGTTGAATCACCTGGTATGGATCGTAAGAGCATTACGGTAGTATACAGGATAGATGGTGTACCGTAACCACATCGATTAGCTTCAAAGACCAAGTGAGCAAAAGTACAATAGTTACAAAGGAAAGGCGCTTGCCGCAATGGACCTTGAAACTTGTGAATCTCGGTCATTCATTAAACGAGAGCACTACTCACCAATGGATATGATCGGCCATATCCTCAGGGTATCTAAGAGAATGCGATATATAAACGAGAATGAACATGGAGTGAATTATATCGAGGATTCTACAAGAAATGAGCCGTTGGCATGGAGAATTCCTAAGATCGGGGACGTACAATACAGCAATATGCTAAGCCTGGTCAGTTGGACTGTCATGAGAACAAGAAAAGCACATACGATGCAACATTCACGCAAAGAAATAGGCGTCAATTGCCAAAGAACAAAAACGGTTGGCGTGACGCTCAACCCACATGTCGATGAGCAGGTGGCTCATGAGAGTAGATTTTGGTATACGCATACCGCGAAGGGTAAAGTAGTTACTAACAGCAAGCCAGTAGAGCTCTCCTCCTGCGTATCCATGGTGAGCAATAGAAAAAGAGGTTTACACCCACGCCACTGCAACAGATTTTAGCGGAGTCTGAAATATCAGCACCGCGTGGGCATTCAAACCCAAATTAGGACTGCATTTGAGCCTTTGGTCGACTCGGCTCGCCTATCTTGTCAAGTCACATTGTTGCACAGGGGTCTTTATAACACTTCTTGGAGCATATTATGTGTAGTTATCCATTTATGCTTTCTCATCATTTCCAGATACCTCTGATGACCAATGTTCATGACTAATTGTACTGAGCATGAAAACCATCATTAGAGAGCCTTATGATCAGAACCACATGCAAACCATCTTGAAGTTCCTGCAATGATAAATCTTCAGTAAAATTGAAATCTGTGAGTACTCCCTGGGGAGGTAACAGACCTGGGACGTGCGATGACATTGGCAAGGTAGAGAAAGCTCTGGGGCATTTATAGAGAATCACTGGTATCGAGAACAAGCATGAAATGATCAGCTATGAATGGGAACACAGCTGAGTTCTTGATATCTCAAAGTAAATGTTGAAATGTGAGTTCTGACTGTCAATATTGTTCATACCTCTGGAATAGGATTATCAGAAACAGTTATAATGAGGGTATGAAAAGCACGGATTTTTTTTGAGTTCCACCTTGAATCATGAAGTAGCCTGAGATAATACTTATGATGTACAGTTGGACTTTGATATCAAAGGCAAGAGATCACTTTCTCAGACTCCAAGTCAATAGGTGCACAGATGCTGAGTCAAGCATACAGTTCCCAAATTTTGGCTGCATAACAGAAACTGCACTCAGACATGTATCACAGCATATGTTTACTCAGATTTGTCTGACTGCTTAATATTTACTTATGCTTGACTTGAGTGTGGAAGGCCTTTTTGCAACATATAAGGAGCAGTGCCTTCAGCAAAGCTTGAAGTCTTGAAGATGAAATACCCAGGTATTTCTGTGTGTGCAGCATCTTCTAGTACTACTGTTCAGGAATTTACTCATCCTTTCTGCAGATCTTCAGTCAACCAACAGTAACTCTTGCCAGCCTGGTTTCCTTTATGAGTACTTGGATGGCCAATTTAGGGCTGGGATATATTCTCCTACCTTCATCGGGATTCAGAACCCCACCATGGTTAGTGCTACTCATGCAGCATTAATCAGACATGGGAGCCTGGATCTTCAACAATATTGGTATGCATCCCTATTGCTGATATTTTCTTACCTTCATCTTTTTTAGAGAGTCAACATGAATAGCAGGAAACAAGAGTTGAGACCACCTGTTATCTGCCTTTGATGGTTTCACTGTCATTCACCACCATTGCAGATGCTGCATCACTTGAACTATGCAAAGAGGGCTAATGAACTTGGTATCAGTTTTCCTACCAGTCAGCTACTATGATACTTTGGTCACATGCAGTGTCAGGTTATGCATCGAGATCCGGTCACTTTTGGCCTCATTCCAGATTGGTGAGGTGGCATTTGAGTTCATTTGGTACAACACCTGTCTAATGTTGGGTAATGTGATAGTACACATCATGGTCCCCAAAAGTGCTTCATCAGTCAATGAGTTAAGGAGTGCTGGAGGATTGGAATGAGTCATAATATCTAGGTACAGTGCCTGGTACCCACATGAAAGAAAGCTTGAGATCACCTTTCATCATGATTTTGTGTGTGCAGTGGCAGCTGGAATGTTTCCATGGCAGTGTCTGATGGTTACCATTGAAGGATGCCACTTCTTTGGCATGTACTCATGCTGCCATCATGATGACAATCCTGGAGGCTGGTAGAAAGATCTTGCACCAGGTGTGCATGGTTCATAATAGCAGCTTGGTGAGAGCAGCCTTAATTTCTTCTCTTGAACTCTAATTCATTATTGGTCTCTAAGAAGCCTGATCCCACCCATTGTCAATATGTACAATAGTGGACCTCCATTATGACAAGCTGCATAGAACATATCTATAGAACACCTGGAGACATCAATTATATTGAGATATACTCCAGTTCTTCTCACCACCTACTCTCATGTTGTTTCATCTACAGTGCTGGATGCTCTTTTTGTTCCTTTTCCCTACTACCATGGCATTCATCATTCACTTAGAAAATAAGTAAATGGGATGCAAACTTGGTTTTGGCTGTAAACTAATAATACTATGACTTGCAGCTGTGGCTCTGAAAGTGTGAGGCTTTTCTGGTATACCTGCAGGCAGACAAGACTGATGAAGACAGCCATTGATAATTCATGAAGATAGTACCAGAGTCAAGGGGGTTCACTCATATGATAGTGCAGAGATTCTATCTGTGTGAGTCACCTTCTATTCCTGGATCACATTCCCTGACTTGCTCCAGATTCTTAGATCAAGGTATGGGTACTTCCTACCTGCCAAGTTCTATGCTCATAAAATCAGGATCCTGTGGTCCTCTAGGTAAAAACTGCCTCACAGTTCATGTCAACAAGTCTGAATTCCATTGCAGGACCATTGGCAATTCAGGCATGTCCTCCATTCCCATAAGCTTGCTGTATGTCACCTTTTTGCATAATTGGTAGCATGCACTAATTCTCACCAGGTACTTGTGTACTTCTGGCAAGTAGTTGGACTCATTTTTCTCCAAAGTCTAACTCACAGACTCTGTCTTAGTCTCTAGCCATCTCACAATAACCTTCTGTTCTCTCATCCCAGCATTCATTGACCAGCACATTCCTCCAAGGTTCCACTGGCTTGTCTCATGTCAGATCACTGAAATATTGTGGACCCCAATCATCATTGCATCCATCTTTGGGCCACTCACAGTCTTTCTTCTTCTCATGATGCTCTACATGTGGTGGAGCAGATTTCCCAAGCTGCCAATGATGATTGACATTTGTGCCCATCCTCCACTGACTCCTGTCATGATTTTCTTATTCTTTTCCTGCTTTAACCCCTATTTATGCTTAGTCAGAGTGCTAACACAGGCACTTAAGACCATGGGACATGGCTCAATCATCACAACAGGCTGAGTTTGTCATTGTCTTTCAATGCAACAGTGTTGTCTGACAATGCACAATCATTCAATTATATACAGTAGTGATGCCCAAGGACAATGGGCACAAGAGACTCAACAAGGCACAATTAGTAGTAGTATATTTAGAATGGAACATGTACAGTATTTAAGAGGCTTGCTCTTGCTGGAATCCCCAGCTTCAAGCTAAAGTTTATTCTATCTCATTCTATACTAGAGCCAATCCTAGGCCTTGTGACACACCAGACAGAATATGCATTCAGTGAACTCAGTTGATCATCTGAAGTGCAAGGTGATGCCTGTTTATCATGTGTATCTGCTCATGTGATGCTTGAGTCTAACAATTAGCTTGAAGCTTCCTTTTTCCCTTTCCTCATGCATTATAGTGTGGAGGAAACTGAATGCCCTCAGTCACTCCATCAGACCTGAACTTTGATCAAGAGTTCTTTGAACTCCTATCTTCCATCATCAGAACACTTTTAGGCTTACTTGTGATCATCCAGCTGTGCTGGGGACATCATTCAATTACTGTCTGGGCTATCTGATATTACAACAAATTTCAACATATCTGCCATATTCTTGGCAATATAACCTCTGACTTACCCCTCCATGACATCCCTGAATCCCAATGAACATCCCACCAGCCCCCAACCAGCCTCCTACCTAAGGCCAGGCCTAGCAGCCTGTATCAGAGGGGCAATCAAGAAGAAGAAAGACACAGGTACTCTCTCTGACCCAGCAGCAGAAACAGCCACAATTGCCTCATAGAGTTCTGAAATCCTTGGCAGCACACTCCCATTCCCAACTGAGAAGATGAGGACCTCCTGGAGGACTTCTTTCAGCAGTCTCCCTCCCCCAACCCTTCTAGAACCTCTCAAACCCCTGGGATTAGAAACTGTGCCTGAGATTCCCTCAGTCCCACTTGGATGGCTGCAGGATCCTGCCATGCGACACCTTGAAGCCAGCCTCATAGCCCCATCCCTTCAGCTCACCACTTGGTCAGGACCAGCAGTAGGTTGGGGAGGTCACCCTCAGACCAACTCAACAACAAGAGACAAATCCAAGAAAACAGGAACAAGATCATTCACTGACTCTTCCCTGCCTGGGACCTTAACATTCCTTTCAACTATAATGAGGCTCTCTGACAAGAAGAGCAGAGACAGCAGAACATCCTCCAGCCATCTCAAAGTGAGCTTGAGAAGCACCTCATCCTCCAAGGCCATGCAAGAAGGGCTGCTGAGTATGACAGAGAGCATAGGGAAGAGCAGTGAACCATCAAAAGGGCTTGACTGGAGAGGGCTAATGTCTCCAACTGGTATGGAATCTGGTCTGAGGTTGCATCTGTACTTGTGCCAGTCTGCACCAACCAGTCCCTCTCAACCCCTGTATTCTGAGAATCCAGCACCAAGTCAGATCCATAAAATGAAGCCTGCTGGAGAAACAAAACCCTCACAGCTGGTGGAAGGACCAGTGAGTCTCCTCTATGCTCCTCAACCTCACAATATTCCCCTCTCCAAAGAACCCCTAGTGCTGACACTATGTTCAGAGATGACAAGTCTGTCCTCAGACACTATGGGCTACAAGTCCCTGAAACTGCTCATATCTCTGCTCATGCCCTCTGAGGATTCCTCAGGAGTCAAGTGGTCAGGCAACTCCTTGATGACAGATACAAGAGAAATGTCCAGCTCTATTGCAAGTGAGTGGAGGTGGCAAGAGCAACAGAAGAGAACTGGTATGACTCCAATATCAGAAGTCAGCCAGTTTCCATCTACCTTGACACCACAGACTTTTCTGATGCCACAGCTAGACCCAGTACCCAGCCAAGACAGCAGAATGATGGTATAACTGCAAGAGGGCATGGAGAGTTTCTATGACCTGCCTGCTGTCTCTCTCCTCAGGGAAGAGGGAGGTGATAAGGATGAGGAGGGCAAGGAAACTGAGAGTAGCGACCTGCCTCATGCTGGGGGAAACTTGCTTATGGACTGCAGGAGGATACTGATGAAGAA